GCACCATGGCAGTATCGGCTGCAATTTGGTGGGCTGTCACTCTGGGGTGGTGGCAGTGCCTGTGTCCCACTTGGGAGAAGCCGAGTGTTGCTTTGTCAGTGCCAGGTCCACGCTGCCGTTTCTCTGTAAATGGCCAGCACACATTACGGCAGCTCCTGCATTGAGCATCTGCCCCCTAGTGGTCAGTTCACGTCATAGCAACTGGTCGGACAGGTGGAGGGACACTTAGCTTATTAGCCTTGTATATAGATAACTAGAGGCCTGGTGCATGAAATTCATGAACTGGGGGGAGGGATCCCTCAGCCCGGCCTGTGCCCTCCCGCAGTCCGGTACCTCTCACTCCTTACTGCCTGCCTGCTCGCTGCTCCTTACTGCTCAGCTTGCTGCTCCTTAGCGCTGCCGCTGACATGGAGGCGGGAAAGGCTTCCATCACCACCACTGCACTTGCCAGTGTGAGCCTGGCTTCTGGCTGAGCGGCACTCCCCCTGTGGGAGCGCACTGACCACCAGGGGGCAGCTCCTGTGTTGAGCGTCTGCCCCCTGGTGGTCAGTGCACGTCATAGCGACTGGTCGTTTTGCCGGTCGTTCTGCCATTCAGTCAATTTACATATTAGGCTTTTATCATATAGGATGTGGCCAGATATGCCAAGTTACCCTTTCAAACCAATAACCTGAAGTAACTACACACATTTGCTTGGTGATACACACAACATGTACTGGCCTACTATTTTTCCTGGGATAAGCAGCTGCTTCATGATGCTCTGTTAATAGGAGCAGGCTGAACTGAAGGGTGTGGTCTCTGCCCTCAGGGTTTTTGTGAGACAAGCCTATCCTCCCCTTTACCTTCATGGAAAGAGATCCTTGAAACACTTCTGAGAAACCCAGATCCCAACCATGCATGGTCATACTTCTCGTTTTAAAGTTCATGCCACTTAAGATAATAGCATTATAGTTAAAACTATAACTCCAGTAACAAATATTCCTACAAGTTTTCCCTATACTACTTTTTAAATAAAATCCCATTTTGAGACACCTTACCTAAACAGCCTAATATATACTGATGAATCAAACTGACGAAACTTTACTTCACTGGTGCTAAAAATGACTTAACTATTTGGCATATTCCACTAAAGAAATTGAGGATGTTGAGTGAATCGATTCTTCTCTCAAGTTGGTCACCCCTTACTGGTTTATACACATGGCAATAGATATACTACCTTCAACATATGAAGGCTGAGTCACAACATAAAAGGAGTCCATTTGGAAGGAGAAAACAAGCCACTGGCCCTATTCTAAGGACTTCCTGGTCCCAAGGTGACAGTCAAGGAAGCAGATACCTTTTCATGGTAAGGTCCCAGCACAATCCATCCACAGAAGCAATAGCCAAAGTAGATCACAGCCGCACAGCAGCAGAACCTCATGACACTGGGCAGCGCTGCCTGAAGGGTCAGGATAAGGAGCTGAGAAAGTGAGAGAGGTCATTAGCATCCTTTTGTCCTTCAGCCAAAGCAGCGCAATAACAGCGAAAGGGAGAAAGACCAGCAGCACCGAGAGCCTTGAAATGTCTTACATTGTACTTGTGGAAGAAACTGAGGTATCGGATGACGCCCAGCCACACAAGCAAGGTGGAGGTCCCGAGAAGTATGCTGCAGACGTCATAACTTGTTAGACTCTAAAACACAGTGGGGAAAAGGAATCAGAAATTCACATGAGCAAGAACTGTCTATTGGGCAGCAATGAGTTGGTCACTGTCCCAGGGGCTAAGGACAGAGCAGTGAACAGGCAAAATTTCCTACATTCATGAAGCTTCCCTCCTAATGAGGGGGGAGAGATGGCAGCAATACATTCATGAACACCTGATACATTAGCTGATGTGCAAAGGAGGAAATTCAGGAGAGGGGATAAGAAATGCGTAGGAGGTTGCATTTTAAGAAGGGTGATGAGGAAAGGTCTCACTGAAAAGGCAGCACTTGAGCAAAGACATGAAGGGAGTGAAAAGCAAACCAACAAAATCAAGGGGAAGAGCTCTCCTGGCACAGGAACCAGCAAGTGCCCAAGGCCCCGAAGCAGGAGGGCACCAGACAAGATAGTGAGTCTGGCTGGAGTGAGCGATGGGGATATAGTATGGAGTCAGAAGTAAGGAGGCAGGAAGTTAGGGTCTCCTGGATAATTTATCAACTTTATATTTATTCTGAATAGGGGAGGGGGATTTGAGATCTCTGAACAGCAGTGATATGATAAAATATTGGCTGCTATGGTTGAGCGCAGATTATTAGACAAGTGAAAAGACTGTTGCAATAAGTGAGAGCTGATGGTGACTTAGTGGTGGAGATGATGAGGTAATTTTTGAAGGTAGATCAATAGGATTTCCTCTTGGATTAGAGGAGGGTGAGAGGGGATTAGTAAAAGAGAAGCGTCGAGGATGAATCAATGACTCTTGTCTTGAGCAACTGAAAATAGTTGGTATTTAACTGAACTTAGAAAGGAGAAGCAAGTTTGGACCATGGAGGTGGGGGATCTTAGGAATTCTGTTTTAGATATGTTACATTTGAGAGGCCAAATAGACACTGGAGTGAAGTGTAGAATAGACAGTTAGAAATGTGAGATGAGTTGAGGGCAGAATTCCAAGCTGGAAACACACATGTGGAAATCACTGGCATGGAACAGAATGAGGTCACCAAGACAGTGGCAGAAAATAAAACATGTCCCGGTGCTACGCTTTGAAGTCGTCACTTTAATAGGTTGGAGAGATGAGAGGAAACTGGTGAAGGAAAGTCAGGAGACCGGCTCAAAATCTAGAAGGAACACCAGGAAAATGATACCCAGCAAAAAAGAAAAAAAAAGGTGCATCAACAAAGAGGGAGTGTTGACAGTGTTAAAAGCTGAAGGGTAAATAATTGAAATAATGGATTATTGGACTTAGCAACATGGGAGGTCCTTGGAAAGAACACTTTCTGTGGAGTGGCAGGCAGCCCGGTTGGAACAGATATGAGAGAGAATGGGAGGAGCAGAATCAGAAACAAGATGAACTACTCTTTTGAGGTCTTTTGCCATATAAAGAGAAGGAGAAAATGAGGAAGTAACTTGGGGGGATGGGTTGATATTTTGTCTTTTCAGAAAGGAGAGAAAAACATACTGATGAGAATGACAGCATAGAGAGTGGGAGATGGATGATGTACAAGGAAAGGAAGAAGCGTGGGGGGAGCTGTGCCCTTAAGCAAGTGGGGACAGCATGTGGTCGGCATATGGAGAAGTAGGACTTGGATAATAGCCTAAATGATAAATCCTCCATAACATAAAAAGCAGGGCGTGTGGGCACTGATGCTGGTCGGTAAATAAATGAAGTGGGAGTTTGTGGAATTTTTACTTTTTTCCTATTGTTCTTATGAAATAGGAAATGAGGTCACCAGCTGAGAGTGGGTATGAGGCAGGGGAGTTAGAGCTTTCGGAAGAGAAGAAAACATGAAATTATCATTTATAAGATGGGGGTAGTGAGTGGTCTAGAAAAATGTGGAAAGTTTGTTGGGTGCCATTAAGAGCTTATTGAGGTTAAGGATAGTGAGGTTGGTATAAATGAAGATTTACTGCAAATCTTCCCCCAATCTCCGCCCCCCCAAAGTTAAATGTCTATTCTGATGATTTATACAACAGCTATGACATGGTGGCAGCGGCCCCGTGTCAACTTAAACCTATTCTCTCCTTCTGAGGCACATGCCCGGGCTCTACTCCCCAGCACCAATTGCAGTTGGATGTGACTAAATTCTCTCCAGTGGAACGTGAACAGAAGTGAAGGCTACCACACTAGAGCCAAGTCTGTAAGACTGTGGGAGGGCTACCTCCAGACCAGACCAGACCATGTTTTCCCTTCCACGGGCTGCAGCCTGTGGGTGAGATGACCCAACATCAATCATGTAGTTTGGGCAAGCCCATAATGGCTGGCAGAAAAACAAGATGGGAGAAACTTGGGTCCTTGCACGACTGCATGGAGCTGAGCAACTCACCAACCTGGAAAACCCACCCAGACTGTTACGTGAGGGAGAAATAAGCTCCTATCTTTTCTGAGCCATTGCATTTGGGGGTCTCTGCCCAGGAATCTGAGTCACAACAGGCTTATACTCATATTTAGTTATAGCCAAGGTTGGAAAAGTGTAAATTTGAGCAAGATTAGTCTGAATAGTATTAGATTTTTTAAAATATGATCTTTGCTTTGGGAGAGAGGGTTGATTTCTAGTCTGAGCAAACTCAGAATGGAGCGCCTTGTACCCATCCATGGGAAAGATAAAAATATAGCAACATTCTCAATCTGAAGGAAAGAACGACAGCACTCACATAATCATAGCTTGGCCTCAGCCTGCACCCCCAGCCCTACTTTTTTGTTGTTGAAGATTCTGGGATTTCTTGTAAGAATAACTAAAAACACCTCTTGCCTTAGCTATCTTGGCGCGTTTATGAATTTTGGAATGTGTAAGAATTCACAGGTCCCACCCCAGAGTTCAGATTCAGTAGGTGCAACTTGGGCATTTTTACCAGCTCCCCAAATGATTCTGATGCCGACGTTTATGGATCACACTTTGAAAGGCTCTGTCTAAAAGATTTCCTGACTAGATTTAAGAAAATTGTTACTATCAATTCCAAGTTTAGTCAATGCAATGTTTGAAAGAAATCATTTACTCTACAAATTCTTACATTCAGGAAAAATAAATTACTATTAATGCAAAGCTGATACTAACAATGGCATAAAGAGGAAAAAAAGTTTACCTTGGCTTGGATTTCCATTTTCAGAATTGATCCAATGATTGTCAATAAGTCACTAATAATAATCATAATGTACCATCCATTGACAAATTCCATTCGATCAGAAACGGAAACCTCCTTCTTATAATGGAGGAGGAAAAAAATGACAAATTCCTTTAGAGGGAAGAGGGGAGGCAGAGTGAGTTTCTCTGTTGATCAACGTGGCCGTAACATTCCTAGAAAAGCAACAACCCCTACCTGTTGCAGCTGAATTCCTTTAATCACAGATCGAAAGCACAGGATTAACGAAGTCAAGCACATCAGGATAACAAAGCCATCAAAGATCATCATGTAATGAGTGTTTCTCTGAACTGGAAGGAAAAGGATTACCTGTTTATGAAGTGGGACATTAATACAGTGACAGCTACTTTTTTTTTCTTTTCATTTTTAGCCTCACTTATTTTAACTGCTGTGCTGCACACCAGATTATAGATGTAAAACACGATAAAGGGCACTCAGATTGTAATCTGTTCTTCCCTACTGGGAACAATTCTTCAAGTCCTCTTTGTACTTGGGGGGATTATAAGTATTTTTTTTAGTAAGGAGTGGACCAATGAAGGCAGATGGAGAAGGCGGGAAAAGTCATTTCAGTTATTAATAATTTATGTATTACCGGGAACATCAGATAACTACAATGAATTGACCTACTTGCAGAGAACTAGAGACTCGGAAGTAGTACAATTAGTACAATTCTTTCATTCGATGCTCCACTATCCATGAGACCAGTAATTTAATAACCATTTTGGAAAACAAGTAAAATGTATCAGTTACCTGATCCAGAAACATGCCAGTCTTTACATTCTCTGATGGAAATGTCATTATCTAAACTTATCTTAATTCTTCCACTGTGGGCTTTATTGTCAAATGTGATCTGCAAAGAAAAAGAATAAAAAACATACCTATAGTATTTGAAGCCCAGGTACCTCCAAGCATTAATTAGGAAACAATTCTTTCGGTGCGAGAGGAGACCCAGCATCTCATCCCTGCCCTATTGCTAACTCTGTTCAACCTTGGTAAGTTCACTTTATTTCTCTGTAAAATGAAAAGTTTGAACTACATCTTCTACAGAGAACTTTCAGTCTCTAAAGTCCTATGCTGCTAGGACAGTATCCCAGCCCTGGGAACTTCTAAAACAAGAGAACTTCCCCACCTTCCCATTCTAAGTACCTCCATATGCCCTCTTGATATGAGCAAGGACTGGTACAAAGCTTCCAGTTATAAAATAAATCAGCCATGGAGAGGTAGTGTACAGCACAGGGAATATAGCTCATAATATTGCAATAACTTTGCCTGGTGACAGATGGCTGCTAGGCTTGGTGTGGTGATCACCTCTTAGGGTACATAAATGTTGAGTCACTATGTTTTGCACACCTGAAACTAATATTATGTGTCAACTACACTTTAATAATTTTTTAAAAAGCTCGTAAAAGTGTGCTTTTCCCCACCTTCCAGTAGTTCCTCCGCTAGGAATAGATTTTTAGCACATTGCAATTCTTCCTAACACAAGAGGTTCATTTTTCTGTCTTGAAACATTTTAAGTGAAACTTTTTTAAATTTTCTTTCTGGATCTCGATTTCTTAGTCATTCTAGGACCATGTGTACTGCCAAGAATGTGGCCCCAGGGAATCAACAGCCACTTCTTGCCTCAAGGATTACTATTCAGGACACGGGCACAGAGCCGGACAAAGCCACGCCAGAACACCTTCCAGAGCCCTTCTCCGTTTCCCCTCTAGCTTCCTCCACTTTCCCCATGAAGAGACCATCTGTCTTTTGGTTGCTGTTGTTTTTAAGAGCCTTCTCACTCAAGTTCTTTTAAAAATCTGTCATTTAAATGATTTTTTTAAAAAATATTTTTATTGATTTCAGAGAAGAATGGAGAGGGAAAGAAAAATCAATGATGAGAGAGAATCATTGATTGGCTGCCTCCTACATGCCCCCTACTGGGGATCCAGCCAGCAACCTGGACATGTACCCTGAACAGGAATCGAACTGTGACCTCCTGGTTTAGAGGTCGTCGCTCAAGCACTGACGCCAGCCGGGCCATTTAAATGAGTTTTATTGCACCTTCTTCATGTGGGATAATCAGATATCACTTCAAATATAAGATGTCAAATAAACGTATTTAACAAAGTCTGGTCACTTTGTCTCCTCATCCTGGATTGTAAGCTTCTTTCCTTGACAAGCACCTCGGGCCATTGTCAGTGTCTGTCCATCTCCATGGCTGCTGGAGGACCCAGCCCACAACCTCAAGGAAGATGTTCAGTATTACTTGAATGAGTTCCCTTTGCAAAAGGGAAACCATGTTTTCCCACAAAAGAGCCTTAGAGTTTTAGCAACATTAGGTGCTAACTAAACATCTGTTGAGTGAATTATACTTTGGTTTCATGTCAATCACATCTTAGTAAGGTTTAGAAGAATCTGAATTCTTTAAGCAAAGAAGAAAAATTAGTGGATGGGATTCGCAACATATTAGATAGTACAGGGGAAAATATTAGTGGATTTGAAGACACAGAAATAGAAATTAATGAAACGCAGAAGAAAAAAGACTAAAAAATGAAACACAAAAAGAGAGCATTAATGAGCTGTGGGACAACTTCAAGTACACATGTAATTAGAATCTCTGAACAGTGAGTGGGGGGAGAGACAGAAAAATATTTCAAGAACTAATGCTGAGTAAATGTCAAATATAATGAAAATTATAAACCCACAGAACCAAAATGTTCAATGAATACCATACACAAGAAATATAAAGAAAACAACACCAAGGAGTGTCACTATCAAATTGTTAAAACCTGATATAAAGATAAAAATTTAGAAACAGCCGGGGGGAGGGGGGGGACACATCCCATAAAGAAGAACAAAGATGAAGATGACAGCAGATTTCTCATCAGAAACAATGCCAGCTAGAAGAGCAGAGTCTTTAAAGTACAGAGGGGGAAAAACAAAACAGAATTCTATATCCACTGAAACTTCTTTTAAGAATGAGGGTGAAGCCCTGGCTGGTTAGCTCAGTTGGTTAGAGCATCATCCCAACATACCAAGGTTGCAGGTTCAAGCCCCGGTCGGGGCACATACAAGAATCAACCAATGAATGCATAAATAAGTGGAACAACAAGTCTTTCTCTCTCTCTCTCTCTCTCTCTCTCTCTCTCTCTCTCTCTCCTTTCCTCTCTCTAAAAATCATCAATCAATACATTTAAAAATTAATATTTAAATATGAATAAAAATAAAGGTAAAATACTTTTTCAGACCTAGAAAAGCTGAGAGAATTCATCACCAGCAGGCCTGCACTACAAGAAATGTTAAAAGAGGCCCTTCAGGCAGAAGGAAAATGGTGCCAGATGGAAACCTGGAGTTACACAAAGGAATGAAGCACACTGGAAATGGTAACTAGGTGGGCAAATATAAATACTGTTTTCTTATTATTTAAATGGCTTCAAAAGATAATTGACTATTTAAAGCAAAAATGATAATACATCAAGTATTTGATAACACATCTGGAAAGTAACAATAACATAAAGGCCAAGATTAGAGAAATGGAAATATAGGGATGGGCAAAAGTAGGCTTACAGCTCTGAGTACACAAAACACAGAGTTTATGCTTGTATTATTATTTATGTATTTATTATTGTACTAGAGGCCCGGTGCACAAAAATTTGTGCACTCGGGAGGGGCAGGGGGGTCCCCCAGCCCGGCCTGTGCCCTCTCGCAGTCTGGGACCCCTCGGGAGATAACGACCTGCTGGCTTAGGCCTGCTCCCGGGTGGCAGAGGGCATGCCCAATCCCTAGGTGCAGCCCCTGGTCAGGCTCAGAGCAAGGCCGATTGGGGATTTGGGGCGCCGCCCCGTCATGCACAGAGCAGGGCGGATCAGGAGGTTGCGATGCCACCTCCAGTCACACTCAGGGTAGGGCCGATCGGGGGGTTGGGGCGCTGCCCCCTGTCACTCACAGAGCAGGGCCGATCAGGGGGTTGGGGTGCTGCCCCCTGTCATGCACAGAGTAGGGCCGATAGGGGAGTTGGAGCACCGCCCCCTGTCACACACAGAGCAGGGCGGATCAGGGGGTTGGGGAGCTGCACCCTGTCACACTCAGGGCAGGGCCAATGGGGAGGTTATGGCTCTACCC